CTTTAGATTATTTATAACAATATGCGCCCAACACGCAGTTTATATGTATATATATGTGTCACTTTATTAAAACTCAACATAAGGGTGGGGAGGTCCTACTTCAATTACATTTAGTCCCACCCTTTAGGTAAATTAAGATTAAAAATATATTTAAAACAGAAACTTTCTGGATGTTAAAATCCAAATCCCTTAGAATCCCCATTTTTATTTGAATTAAAAATAACATCACAAATGGATTAAAGGGAGTGAGGATTGAATATATTCATCTAACATTTGGCGATTATTATTTCTGTTAAAACAGCAATATGAGTGACTCACATAAATATTTCCTACAAATTATCGGAACAAGTTTCTAAAATAAAAAAAAGAAATAAACAGGAAACTGAACCTTTAACTTAAATAATTTAAAAACTGAAGCTTTGTATTTTTCCAAATTCACAACTAAAGTTGTGTTTCTTTTTCCTTCTTAAGTAAATAAAATTATCATAGAAAAAAAATCTCATGAACATATTGATTTGACAGTACCTTCCTAGCCTAGCTAGCCGATCACGGTGTTGTAGATAGTGCCTATCAAACCAAAGACGATGCCAATCACTCCACAGATCAGCAGCAAGTAAGTAATGTAGTAGTTGAACCACCCCTCCTGTCGCACCGTGAAGCCACCAGAGTACATGTAGAACAGCGCAGGAAAGATAAAGGCCATGAACCCACCACAGATGGATCCAGCAAAGCCAAATACCGTAGTAATTTTGGGAATAAATAAGCCGGAAAGGAGGGACGCTACACAAAGAACCACCACAACGATCAGATGCTTTTTAAAAGGGATATTGTCAATGTACGTCGTGTCATCTTCAGTTGTAGCGAGAACTTCTTTGTCGGGATCCATTGATTTCAGAGTGGTGTTGCCTCGCTTGCCGTTGTCAATTAATTGTGGTGACATCGACTTGCAGACTGTAGTTTTGTTTACACCTACGTTGGAAACCTCACCTGCGGAGGTGTACTTGGCGTCCTCATCCTGCGACCA